AGGCGCCCGGGGCGAGGGTGCGGGCGCGGGGAGCCGCGAGCGGGTCCCCGGCGGGGGACGGAGGTGCTAGGCGGCTCAGACGCTTGCAGGGAGCCCCGGAGCGGCGCTGGCCTTCGGGACGCGGCTCCCTCCCATCTGCGCTTTCCGGGCACCGAGCCAGTGTTCGGGCCCCGGAGGGAAGTGGGGACGGGGCGCCGCGGCCGCCCCCTCCCCCAGTCTGGAGCGGGGCCCGGGCCCGCCCTCGTGCTGTCTGTCGGTCTGGGGGCAGTCGCCCTGTTTTTTTTGCACGTTTGCAAAACGGGTGGGGAGTGGGGAAGAAGTGGGAGGGAAAATATTGGGGCGCAGGGGGGGACAACGAAAACGGAGCAGCCCGTTTTTTGCCCCCAAAGGCGAGAGAGGACTGTGCATTAACTGCAAGCGCGGGCCGCCCTGAGAAGGAAATCTACCAGCTGCCCCGAGATCCTCCCAAACAGCGGAAAATTGGAAACCCAGTCCCCAAGTTTTGGGGCGCACGTAGGGAGACAAAGGTGCAGTCGCACCTCATTTTTTTTCAATATTTTGATGAAATGAAGTTTGGGGGGGGGCGGCGAGGCAACTTGGAAAGCTAGGACTAGGTGACCCGGGTTACTGCCACGGTTTGCCCGAGCCAATGCCCTTTCGGATCGATTGCACCCCACAAAAAGGAGAGCGGACCGCGTGACCGATGGGGGCGGCTGCAGCCGCTGGTCTAACTTTCTCGCTGCTGAAATCCTCATTCCATGCAGCAAACCCCATCTCAGTCAGTCAGGTCCTGAGTCGGAGGAAATCAAACTCGCGGTGAACCGAGACTGAGCCTTAACGTGCTTCGTGAGGCGCCCTGGTGGCGCAGCGGTTAAGCGCTCGGCTGCTAATGGGAAGGTTGGCGGTTTGACTCCACCAGCTGCTCCGTGAGACTCGTTTGTGGCAGTCTGCTTCTGTAAAGATGACAGCTTTGGAAACCCCATGGAGCAGTTATGCTCTGTCCTCTAGGGTCTCTGGGCGACACAATAGACTCCACGGCAGTGGGTGACTTTGGTCGCCTCCACACAAGTTTAGCTCAGTGGAAATCCATTGTTCGGTTTCATGTTTGTACCTCGAGCCCAGTGGTAAGGTACTGTCTGTGGAGCGAATCACAGAACCGTTCGTGTTTGAGGAGACTGCCTGCGTGTACCTTGGATCATTAAAACCACATTAATAAAGCATTCTGCAGGACAAACGGTATTCTCTTCTTTTTTAACGGAAAAGTCACCGCAGAAAATACCTGAGCAGCCCATCTTTAACTTATGGCATGTTTTTCAGTTTGTTTGGTTAAACAGTTTGCATTCATTTGACATCTTTGAGAGAACTTGGGTCACGTTTGCAAGCTCAGATATTGTTGGCAAGAGACACACAGCCGGAAACAGTTTGAAGGGAGTGGTTGCGCCCTTGGAAGGGCTGCAGGTGAGACCCTTGTTTGGGGGCAGAACGGGTGAGCCGAGCTGCCGGGGGTGCCCAGCTCCGGGGTGCCCAGCTCTTTTTGTAAATCGGCTTCTGGCCAAATCCGGCTGATAGCAAAGTAGGGTTATTGTCCGCCTACTTAGAGCTGGATTGTGTCCATCCATTTCTTGCAGAATTTGTCTTGCAAGTGAGGTTTTGCCCCGAGGTCTGGTTTCTGCTTTGTGACATACACATCCCGAGTGGCTGGAATATTTGGCTTTTTTTCCTTTTCTCTCAGTGAACTTTAAGAAAGTAAATTCATCCTTCCCCTGAGAAACAAACCTGTCTAGAATTTGATACTAACACATTGGAATAATTAATTTCCTGGCAGGTTTACTGTGCATACCACTTATCCAATTGCTGACATCCAGTCTGGTTGGTAAAACAGTACTTCAAAAAAAGGAAAAAAACAAACTCACTGCGGTGGAGTCTGTCCCAACTCATAGCGCAACCCCTCGGGTTTCCGAGGCGGTGTTTCTACGGAAGTAGATTGCTCAGTCTTCCTTCCGAGGAGTGGCTGGTGGGTTTGAACCTCCATCCATCTGGGTAGCAGTCAGATGCCTCAGGCACTCCTCCACCAGAGCCCCTAAAACAGTCCTTAGATACTTTATTTGGCAAAACAAACAGGATGGATTTGTCTATAGTGAAATTCGTCAGATAGCTGTGGTAAAGGGTATGGTCTAAAATTTGTAAAGCATCCTTGACAGCAAAGCTGTGTGTAGGCAGAGGCGGAGAGTCATCCCACCAACTCTAACTCTGTGTCCCAGTACGGTTCGGGCTAAGGCACACCCTCTCTTCCTTTGAGGGACACATTTTAAGAGTTATTCAGACAAGTTAGAACATACTATTTTATCATTCATTCAGCAAGTATTTACTGACTCAGCATTTACTATCATCTCAAAAAAAAAAAAAAAAGAACCAAACTCAGTCGATCCCGATTCATAGTGACTCCCAGTGGGTGTCCAAGGCAGTAAATCTTTACGGAAGTAGATTGCCCAGTCTTCTGTCTGTGGAGTAGCTGGTGGGTTTGAACCACCAACCTTGTGGTTAGCAGTGAGATGCCTTAGGCACCATGCCACCAGGGCTTCTATTACTATCTATTATTACTACTACTATTACTTGACTGCTAACCAGAAGGCTGGCAGTTCAAACCCACCAGCCACTCCTCGGAAGGAAGGTTGGGCAATCTACTGCCGTAGTGATACTGCCTTGGAAACCCAAGGAGGGGTTGCTATGAGTCGGGGCTGACTGGACGGCACATAACAACAACAACAGGCCTTCTGAAAAAGTAGTTCTGGTGGCACAGTGCCTAAGGCATCTGACTGCTGACCACAAGGTTGGCGGTTCAAACACACCAGCTGAGGGAAAATGGGGCAATCTGTTTCCATAAAGATTTGTCACCTTGGAAACTCCTGTGGCTTCCAAGTCGATTCCATGAGTCAGAATGGACTCCATGGCATTTCGTTTGCGTCGGTTTTAGGCCCTCTTAGATGTCAGAGTGGGTGGTAGTGCAGTCGAGACCACTCTCAGAGGATGGCAGTGTCCTGCGTCTGCCCTGTCCGTTATGGTAGCCACCACACCGGACTGGTGAGCACATGAAACATGGCCGCTGCTACCAAGGCATTGAATTTTCACTTTATTTCATTTTTGAATGATTTAAATTTAAATAGCTATAGTTTAAGGTGGGAGCTCTGATAGCATAGAGGCTAAGAAACTTGCCTGCTAACCAGACGGCTGGCGGTTCAAACCCACCAGCCACTCCTCGGAAGGAAGGTTGGGCAATCCTACTTCCGTAGTGATAACTGCCTCGGAAACCCAAGGAGGGGTCACTATGAGTCGGGGCCGACTCGACGGCACATAACAACAACAACAACAACAACAATAGTTTAATGTAGCTAGTGGTCATGGTTCTGGACAATGCAGGTCTGTTTATAGGAAACAAAGCAAGAAATATACTTGAAACCATATCATAAGTGAAAGTAATGCAGTGACTTAAATTAATCCTAGAACTAGAACAATTCACCTATCCTCACATTCATGTTTCATTAATTACGGGAATTTTAAAGCATGTACACCTCCCCCGCAAAAAAACCAAAAGATTGAAAAATACCAGCACAAAGAATCCATTCAGAGAACAAGTAGTTCGCTTCATGCCATTCTCTTTCTGTGCAACTGACAACGCCAAGGACAGATATTAACTCACCAGTGTAGGAAAGCACAGCGCTGGTGGTGTAGCGGTGATGGCATTTTGGC